CCCAGAGTTTCTGAGTGAGTAACTTTCACATAACTCAGTTTCTCATCTGTTACCACTCAGTTGCACAGAGGATTACATGAAATAATAGGTAAAAACATTTACTCAACATCAGGCAGGTAGAAAGCACTCAATTAATAGTAGCTATAGTAACCTACTAGTATCTCACCTTATCACACTAACCTAAACCCCATTTTGGATTTTTAATAAAAGATTAGTAGAGCTCCCTACAGATCACTATCTTCTTTTCTACGGCAAGTACAAAGGCCTCTTCGGTAAGGTGAATTAAAAAAAGAAAAACAAACAAAATCCCAAAAGGTAGCCTCCAGCAAAGGGAATCTCATATTAAAAAACCAAAGTGGTGTTTTTTTAGCATCACTTATACATAACACACATATACATAGCATAAAATTTACCATTCAAACCATTTTAAAATGTGTGGTTCTGTGGCATTTATTACACTCACGTTGTTCTGCAACCATCACCATCATCCCTCTCCAGAGCTTTTCCAAACCCCCATGAGGAAAGCCCGCCCCGACAGCCCCCCAAACCCGAGTTTCCAGCCCCCAGTGAGCACTGTTCTACTTTCTGTCTCTTTGTAGTTGACTATTCTAAGTTTCCCTAGAACATTTGGGGTTTTTTTTCGAAGTAACATTTGTTCTTTCTATAAACATTATAATAAGAAAATTTGTTCTAAAACACTGATAGAATAAACCCAGAGATTTTTAAAACAAAATAATTAATATTGGAATGCATGATGATAATGCCCAGGTGAGAGGCACTGAAGTGACAGGTTGTGGGGACTATACATCCCTATCTGAGGACGTGATCCACACAGAGGGTTTTCCTCACTTTGTGAAAGGAACTCTGTATGAAAACATATGCACATATAGGCATAAAGGTTATGCATAGTGATGTTGAGATCTTCATGAATATCAACAATCTCCCTGGTATAGCAGATACTTGGGTTCCAAACTTGACTTTGTCACTAGTGTGCCATTTGGGCCAGGCTTGGGGCCTGATCCTTTCAAGTTCCTCCTGTCTTGGTCTGTAAAATGCAGATACAAATGGCTGTCCTTCCTACCTCCTGGGGTAGATGTGAAGATCAAACAAGATAATCAAAGTGAAAGAGCTTTGAAACAAAGCCCTATAGAAATGCAAGGCGTTATTAAAGACTGTGGAGAGATTGTGAACACAGTTTGATTCCAGGCCAAAATCTTGTACTTCCAAAATTTAAAAAGATACTCAGTATCTGCAAATTATGTAGAAAACCAGACTCCTGCTTTGGTGACTCAGTACCATGACTGAACTGTGTTCTGAGTGCCATACATTTGATACCTACTGCTGTAAGTCATCTAACCACATTGCCGCACTAGATGTAATTGTACAGCATGTCAGCAGTATCTTCAGTTTTTGGTGGGTAAGAAGCTATAAATCCACAAACCTTCAGGACAAAGTGATATCTTCATGAGGCAGTTTTATTTTTCTTTTCATTATTACTTTTTTCCAGTGGCAAGAGAGCTGCTCTTTATAACACATCTACTATGAGAGACGTGTCTGCCAATACAATTTAATAAGCACTTACTGAGTGCCTATGAAAGTATAAGTCGTTTAGGGTAGAGAGAGCAGTCATCCTCGACCCTGCAAACGGCACTCCTTTTCATTTCCAGTCCATAGAGTTGCAAGAATTTTATTTTTGTTCAGACAGGGGTTACAAATTTAAATAACCCATTTCCACCTGGAAAAAGCCTGCAGGCCCATACTCCACCTGCGTGTTTCTGAGCTCACTTATCCCTTCTTGCTCAGTTTCCACAGATCCAGCGTGGATCTTCACGTGTAGGTTTAGTGTGCCTCCCCCACTCCCAGGATTTCACTTTCTCCTTCCAATGCATTACTTCTAGATTACTCTTCTCTTTCCAAAAAGTGTAAGACCTCTCTTGTAACCATTAATGTACCATAATTTATTGAGATCTTCCCTTGGTCAGGCAATGTGCTATGTGTATTACAGCATCTCCCTTACATAGGGCAGGTAATGTTACTATTGAATTTCTATTTTTTAAAAGAAAATTTATTTATTTTTAGAGAAAAGGGAAGGGAGGGAGAAAGAGAGGGAGAGAAGCACTGATGATGTGAGAGAGAAGCATCGATTGGTTGCTTCTCATATGCGTACCTTGTGCATCCAAGACTGGGGATTGAACTCACAACCAGGCATGTGCCCTGACCAAGACTTGAACCAGAGACCTTTCACTTTGGGGGTGATGCCCAACCCACTGAGTCACACTGGTTCGGGCACTATTTCTCTATTTTATGGGAGAAGTACAGAGGCTTAAAGAGGTTAAGTGACTTGTGCAAAGTCACGGCATAGTTGACTGGTGGAGTTGGGACAGGCACTGTAGCCTGTACATTTTTAACTGCCCTGTACTATCCCTACCCCCTTGCCTTTTGTTTTGATATCAACCAAGAATTCTGTGAAATTTAGGTGTCATTTATATGCAAACCATTTTGAAGAGTGGCAGTCTACTATAGGTAAAGAGGAACAAGACACTGCTGACTTGATATAATCATGTTAACTAAGATTTGTTCAGTACTCATACGTGTACGGCTCTCTGCTAAACACATGCACTTTCTCATTTGAACTTTCACAGTAGACTTAGAGGGCAACATTTGCATCCCTTTAACGATTAAGCAAACGGTGCAGCACAGAGGAGTAACTGTAAGGTCCTGGTAGAAAGTGGTGGGGCCGGTATTTGAAACGTGGCCATTTGACATCAGAGCTCGGGCTTTTAAACTCTGAGCCACACAATCTCGTTGGATGAGTTGAGGGCCCTCAACAAGATCCTATCAAAATTTCTCTCCCACCGGCCTGCCTCAGAGCTTGAAGTGAGAATCCTGAGTCCCTCCCTAGCAGGTAGGGTGGTCATTTGTTTCCTGGGGAGGAGTGACACTGGGAGTAGCAGGCACTGAGCTCCTTCAAAGCCCTGTACAAGGTACAAGACAGGTGAGCCAGACCCAGAACCTGCCCTCCAGGCTGGAGAAGTAGGGGAGGAGATAATCAAGGAAGACATATCAACACTGAAAGGATGTACCATAACAAATGAGGTCATGCCACTTCTTTGCTTAAAATCTTTTACCAGCAGCCATCACCAACAGGATACAGCAGCTCCCCCCAGCAAGGCAGGCATGCTACCCCTCCTGTATCTAACTCCTTAGCTTCATTTCTGCCTGCCTGTCACACACCTTGTACACCAGCCACTACATATGACAGGCATGTCCATGTCTTCCTTGTCTGTACACCCACTATTTTCTCCTGCTTCCATCTGACCTAATTTATAACCCTCCCTCAAAACTAACCTTGGTAATTTCCTAAAAAAACTAAAAATGGAACTGCCTTTTGGCCCAGCAATTCCACTGCTGGGATTATCTCCTAAAAATCCTGGAACACCAATTCAAAAGAACCTATGCACCCCAATGTTCACAGCAGCACAATTTATAATAGCCAAGTGCTGGAAACAGCCTAAGTGCCCATCAGTAAATGAGTGGATCGAAAAACTGTAGTACATTTACACGATGGAATACTATGCAGCAGAAAGAAGGAGCTCCAACCTTTCAAGAGAGTATAGATGGAACTGGAGAACATTATGCTAAGTAAAGTAAGTCAGGTGGTGAAAGACAAATACCATATGATCTCACCTATATGTGGAACCTAATCCACAAAACAAACAAGCAAGCAAAATAGAACTAGAGACAAACTGGAAATAAAGAACAAACTGACAAGGATCAGAGGGGAGAGGGGATGAGGGTAATGTGGGATAGAAGGGGAAGGGTCGTCAAGGAACATGTATAAAGGACCCATGAACAAAGCCAAAGCGGGGTAGGATTGAGGGCAAGAGGTGGGTTTGGGTGGGGCAGGGGAGAGTGGTGGGAAAATAGGGACAACTGTAGTGGAACAACAATTTATAAAATGAAATAAAAAAAGACTTACCTTGGTCACACTTTATTTAAGCTTTTATTGCCCTCCTTTCCCAATGTGTGACTCTATAATACTTTGTACACCTAGTATAGCAGTTATTACCCTAAATTGAAATTATTTACAAATTTGTCTCTTCAAAGGCAAGGAGAGTGGCTTAATCCTTTGTTGTATGCTGAGTGCTCACCTAGAACAGGGGCAGAGTAGACTCCAGAAGTTTGGGTGAAAGCTAGGGTAGGCACATGAACACAGTGAAAGGATTCCTCAGCCAGGTTAGCGGTCCTGCACCTGGCACTGAATGATGCCTTTGGGATTCCGCGTTGGTAAGTTTGGGAGGAGCAAGACCTTTGGAAGAACCCAGGGCAGGCAGACCTGGGCTGCCTTCATTTACATGGACAACACTAACTGGGGAGATGAAGGAGAAGGTCTCAAGGTCCACCAACTTGGGAAGTTTGTCTGGGCTGGCCCGATCATCAGTAGTGTTTGAAATCTGGCTACGATGCAATATTGAATTTATAGGCATGCCCGTCTCCCCAGGTGTCTGCATCTTCCAGCCTTGTGCCAGCCGTTCTTGTACACCCATAGGGTGGCTCAGGCGGTACACCTTGTGAGCACTGCTTATCCAGGTGTTATTTTATTAGAAACTTTGAAGGGATGACCTCATTTAATCCTCTCAACCTGTGAGGTATTTTTATCTATTTTACTGGTGAGGAAACTGATGCCCGGAGTGGTTAAAGCGCCTTGCTTGGGTCACGAGGCTACATAGCGTTTGGCGGCCCTTTCCCCGCTGCGTGGTTGACGCCAAATGAGTGGATCGGCTTCTCGCGCTCCACGCTCTCTGCTTCCAAGGTCCCCTAATGCACAGCGTTAAAAAATAAAAAATAAAATAAAATAAATAAATAACAGCGCTGTATTGTTTGCGCAGTTAAAAAGTTGTTTCCGGGCAAGGTACGCTCGAGAAGGTCGGGACAAGAGGACCGAGAGGGCCCAGCTGGAGGAAGAAACCGACGGGGCGGGAGCCGGTGGCCCAGGGCAGGCGGGGGGCTGGAGGCGAGTAGGGGCGGGCCGGGGAGCAGGCTCGGCGCTATTGGCCCGCCGCCCCGGTGCGGCCCCCGCGCGCAGCGCGCCCGCCGCCCGCGGGAGGAGCCTGCACTCGCAGCCCCGCGCTGACAGCTGCCGGGCGACACCTGGACCGCCGGGCTGGCGAGCGAGCCGGGCAGAGCCGCCAGCGCCCCGCCAGGGGAGAGGAGGCTCGCGCTGCCTGGTCTCCAGGAAGGTAACGCGCCACGCCCGGGGCTGCGGGGTTTGCACCACCTGGCTTGGGTCTGCGGGCAAGAGGTTGCGGAAGGCGGCGAGACACGCTCCCTACCCGTCTGAGATCCGAAGCTTGCCCGGGCTCTAGTCTCCACATTTTGCCTACTCGCTGTGTTACCCCGGGCAGCTTTCTCGCCCTCTCTGGGTCTCTGTTTATTTCTCTGTTCAATGAGGGTGTCTTCTGAATTCTAAAACGTGAACTGCGTTTTGGCAGCCAGCAAGCTCCCTTCCTCAGTTTCCCACCTTCTTAAGAGCCAGCTGCGCTGCCCTGAGGGCCGAGTCTCCAGGAAACTGAGATGGCTGGATAGTTCTGCTGGGCGGTCCTGTTTCCTGCGACTTTTGAGGACCGGGCCGGGGTTGGGAGCGCTGCCGACAAGACCTGGCTGCAGAGTAACTTCCCCTAGATTGCTCAGGTGAAGTAAAGCAGGACCTCAGGACCTATCTACAGGTGGGGTGTTGGGACGGGAATTGGGGGGCTGATGATTTCTGCTGGGGAAATAAGCAGATTTGTTTTGGAATTCTCTTCCTACACCCAGACCTGTCCCAAGGTGAGTTATGCATTAGGTGAATGGAATTTATCATCTTTTAAGGGAGAAAACCAACTGCTTCAGCGGCTAAGTCAGGGGGCTCCACCAGCATGCAGGAAGTGGGTCTCTCTCTCTGCACTTCCCCTGCCCTCTTCCCTCTCCCCTCTCCTCCTCCCTTCCTTCATAAACCCCCTGTCCGGATAAAAAGTCCTTATTTTCATTTGGTGTTGGTTTGTGACCTGCAGCACCCTCCTTGCAGGGGTTTGGGCTGTGAGTTGGGATGGAAGCCTAGATAAGAACAGACTGTGAATCATACTGTCAAGCCTCCTGACCCGCACAGTCTGGCAGGGATGTGCAGAGGAAGCCCAGTGGGGTTTCAGGCAGACAGACAGACAGACAGACACTGGAAGGTGGGATGGATTCTAACTGCTGCCCAGCTTCCTGTCCCCTTCTTGGCAGCCATTCCCAATTAGCGAATAGTGGCCCCAGCTGTCAGCTGGATGGAGCCACCCAACAGAGGAGGATGGTTGAAAGGAACTGGGGACTTGGATGGGTTTCCGTGGAAGTTCTCACTATTCCCTCCCCTCCCCTCCTCCCCTTCCCCTCCCTGCTGTAGTTCTGCTTTAGGGTGGTTTCCAGGTAAAATCAGGTTCCCGGACCCTTCAAGAGAGGTGGGGGAGGTGTGATGCAAACCAGTGGTAATATTTAATATCTTTTATTGGGTGCTTATGGGCCAGACACTGTTCTTTGCATACAGTGTGTCCTTAATTCTCACAAACTCTCACGAGGAATGGGCTACTGCCCTTCACCCCATTTGAAGTGTTTTTCTTTTTCTTTTGTTTCAATCATCACTCAAAGATACGTCAATTAATTTGAGAGAGAGAGAGAGAGAGAGAGAGAGAGAGAGAGAGGGAGAGAGGGAGAGAGAGGGAGAGGTTTGTGAGAGAAACCTTGGTCGGATGTGTCTTGTACGCAACCCCACTGGGGACCAGGGGTGGAACCTGCAAACTCTTTGGTGTGCAGGATGACACTCCAACCCACTGAGGCGCCTGGTCAGGGCTCCTTTACCCCATTTTATAAACGTGACACCGAGGCTCAGAAAGATCGCGTCCCCTAGTCACATGGCTAGTAAGTGGCATAGCTGGGATTCAAATCCATTCTCTCTGAATGTAAAACCTGTGTTCTTTCTAACTTTTTGATGCTCCTTGTGTAAGGACAAGCTGGAATAGTAATGGCAAAAATGAGTACTGAGCTCTCACTAAGTGCCAGCCACTGTTCACAGCATTTAGAGGTGTTATATCATTTATGGTGCAGGAATTTATGTGGTTTTGGTGGCGATCAGTGACTGCCTCCACCTCTCTCCAGCAGCTCTCTGGTTCCAGAACGCCTGCCTGATCCCACCCAGCTGCTCGGGAGTGGGTGGGGCAGGGGCCCTGTTTGCTTTATCCCAGAGGCCAGAGGTGGTTTGAGGTCTAATGAAAGATTGATTGTCCACCTCTGATCCGTTAGCCCTGACCGTTGGCTTGTGAATAATCCCACTGTCCCCTAAGAGGCCTTTCTCAGGCTTCACTCAATAAACATTTGTGGAATGACTGAATTAGCACCTTGTGCTGCACAGCCTGCTGTCCTGTAGACATGCGAGGCAGCCCAGAGCTGGCCCCAGAAGCCAGGATGCCAGGCCAGACAGCTCTCACCTCTGGCTAGGGAGGCAGGGTGAACTCTGCTCCTGTGGCTTTTAGATTTCCCTGGTAATGCATTTGCCGCCAGCTGTTTTATAAAGAATTTTTAAAGGTCTAGTAGATGAGGAGAAATTTGACTTAAAAAAAACTAACAGTAAACGTGATTTTATTAATAAGGTTGCTGCTCTCTCAAAAAGCCACAGAGAGGGGAATCAGATGGTGCTGTTTGCCTTAGGGCTTCCCCAGCTTTCCCACAGAGGGTCCTGGAGAGCAGTGCAGACTGACACAGGCTCCTGGGTGCGGGGAGGGCCCCAGGTCGGTGCCAGCCAGCTTGGAAATTGATTTAAGGATCAATGCAATTTTTTCCTTTGATTTTGTATGTTGAATTTGGTATATATATGTATATATATATTTTTTTCTTTCCCCCAAATCCTTGTGTAAAATCGGTGTCCTGGCACACTGAGGCTGCAAGCACTGAGACGGAGAAGAGGCCAGGCCAAGGGTCTGTCTGGTCTGGGGACTTAGAGTGCTGTCTGCATTTTCCACTTACAGTACTTGGTTCACAGTAATAGAGCTCCCACCCCGCTGTGGAGATAACACCCTTTCCCATTTTTCAGAATGAAGAAAATGTTTTAAAAATAAAAACAATCTTTATTGTTTGTTTTCTTATCTCCCCACTCTGCCCACCCCCGCCAGCTTTACTGAGATATAACTGACATATAACATTGCATCTAAGGTGTACACATGATGCTTTGATACATGTAGATATTGCTACTATTTTTTGTAGTGGGAACATTTAAGATTAACTCTCTTAGCAACTTTTAAGTATGGAATTCAGCACCATTAACTATTGCCACCGTGCTGTCATTAGATCCCCAGAACTTATTCATCTCACAACCGAACCAACATTGCTGCACTTCCCCACCCACCCCCAGCCTCTGGCCATCACCGTCCTGCTCTCGGTTTCTGTGAATTCAGCTCTTTATGGATTCCGCTTACGAGATCATTGTTGTTTGTTTTCTTATTTCCAAAGCTATACATGTTCATTGTAAAAAAAATTAGCATTAATAATGTACTGCTAATAATCAGTACATCTATCCTCAAGATACAGCCTTCCAAGTCCTTTTCTCTGCATCTATGAGTAAATATTTTTGAAAAGGAACAAATTAATTGTTTTTGATTGAATTATTGTCAAAGCTAAGAGCCATCACAAATTGTTTTTGAAAGAATGGAGAGAATTATGAATAATTTAAAACATCATAAGGTTAATCCTGTTTATGAACCCTCAAAGCTCCTCCCATAATGCACCTATGTCATTCAGTTTCCTGCAGGGAAGCACCTGCTGCAGAGCTGCTGCTGAACTTGCACACTCAAGCTGTGCTCCTTTCCCAGTGACTCAAGTGTCTTACATGTTTCAAGTGTAGCAGCAAAGGTTACTCTTCAGTGCTGTTGATGTGTAAAATTTGAGCAGAAAATTCTAAAGCTAAATTGCACAGTAAGGAGGAGAGAGCCTTAGGCAAGGTCATTTTTATGGCATTGCCTTTTATTATCTGTTTGACTTTGGGCAGACTGGTAGTTTCCCTGAACCAATTTTTGCTTCTGTAAATTGAGGATAATTACCCTACTCTACCATGCTCTACTAGACTCCCTTTGAGGACCAAGTGTCAAGCATTATTGTTACTTGTATTGCATGCAGGTGTGTATGCTATTTTTTTAAAGTTTAGATGTAGAAAGATAAAACACATTGTTACTGTAAAATGCTGGAATCTAATTAGTAGGAATTAATTATGAATGCAAATACTCTATTTGATCCCCACTCTAAGTTTTCTTCAAAGTATGTAGAATTTCTTGATGCCTAGCAGCTCATGGATCTTCAGAAGAAAAGGACAAAAAATAATCTCATTTCACAAAATAAAAGCAGACATGCCACTCAGGGGCATTCTTTATTTGCACAGGGGTCTCAGAGATCCTGGGAGCTGTGTCTTTTTGCTTTAAGCAAGGCAGAGTCATGCAAGGAAGAAGCTATGAGAGCAGCTAGAATGGTGGTGTGCTTGAGGGGCCATGGAAGGGCATGCTGTGGGGTTGCCTGCAGGCACCCACCTGGCTCCTGGAAGCTCTGGGGAGAGGAATGGGGAGGCAGGTGACTTGGCTTCTAGTCCTACCTCAGAGACAAGCTGTGCAGTCTGGGTTTCGTCATATCCTCTCCCTGAGCCTTGGGTTCTTTATCTATAAAGTAAGGGAATTGGACCAGATGAGGTTCCTTCCAGTCGTAAAAATCTATGATTCTGGGCTACTTTCCATTAACATCTGCCCAAATAGAAGTCTGGTAGAGAATTACCACATCCGGATGAATCAGATGGCAGAAAATGTGTCTACTTCCTGTTGCTTCAAGCTCTTGGTGCCCCCTCATGATTTTCTAAGGGTCTCCCAGGCCGACTGCCCTCATGTGGGACATGTGGTCAGTAGATTGTTGAAACTTGTTTCTACTCCTCTGTCTGTTAACTCTTAACCTAGTAGACCCTTCTCAGATTGTTGGGAGGAAAGAACTGCTTTCAGGCAACTTTTGGGAAGATAGGTTGACAGAAGTACAATGAAAGTAGGTTACTGTAATAAAGCCATGTGTGTCACTAAACACTCACCTCTTAAATCACTAGATATTTTTTTTTTCCTTAGTGCCCATGAGAGACTTGGCCATGTGCTTAGACTTTTTGCAGAATGTGAGGGGAGCACACTCTTTAGTGGTGCAGAACTCAGGGTGGGGGTGCCGGGAAGTTGGAGACCAAAAGAGGCGAGAGCAGCTGGAGTGTTTGGAGTACCACAGAGATGAAAAGACCAGTTTGCAAAAAGATTGGTCCCCCAAGGGCTTGGACTGTCTAGTTCAATTCTGCATGTACATTGCCTGGCACTTGGTGAGAACTCAGTAAAGTGTGTTTAATGAATTAAATGAACAAATGAATGAATGAATGACTCTTCTGAGATGAAGTCTTTGCTGAAATGTGTTGCAATAACCCTCAGGTGATTGCAGTAATTTCTTTACATATGTGAAGTACTTTCAACCACAGGAACACTTCATATGCATTATCCTCATCATGATGCCAGAGATAAAAGAGGCCAAAATAAAAGCATTTCCTAATGTCTTACTTTCTAGACACTGTGCAACTACTAGCAGAAATAGATTTGGTTTATTATTCCTAGATGAGTCTCCTT